GCAGCTGCTCCTGGCCTCCACTCTCCTTGCCTCTTCTTCCAGAGGTTACAGCCCCAGTAGCCAGAACAGAGCAAAAGGACTGTCCGTCTCTGTCCCACCAATCCATCCCAGAGACACGTCTGCTCAATTTTATCCTTGGGGGCATTTTAAGACAAACAGCCCGGCTCCCACTGAGGCATCAGACCTCATGATTCCTCATGCTGTACTTGCCACAAGCACTTGTGCCCAGGACAGGCTGGATGGCTGGACCAGAAACCTGCTCTAGTGGAAGGTGTTCCTACCTATGGCAGGAGTTTGGAATTACATGATCTCTAAGGTCTCTTCCTACACAGACCCTTCTGTGATTCTATAGGGGCAGAGGGATCTGTCCTTTTGTCTTGCTTCATGCTTCATCTAGACTATGGAACCCTACCTATACTAGACCACAGCCTTGGCCTGAACTAGACTGTATCTAACATGAAGGTACAAAATGTTAATTTAGAGATCCCAGGAGAAAGGAAAAGACATAGAATCCCTGGGAAAACAGTTAAACAGAAAACATTACAGCTACTGTGAAATATACACCTTATTTCTGTTACGCCTACTTAGTCTTTCCAATATGAAAACAAAGAATATAGATTTTTAAACCCTGAATCGTGTACGTCAGAGGTAGGAAAGAACTGTTCAGGTTATTTAAGTCCTTTCCAGCAAAATCCCACTTGTGGGTTAGGCACAGGAAGAGGACAGTCACTCCTCCTGCTTGCCTGCATAGAGTTCAAATCCACCCCTTCCTTGGCTCTCTTTCCTGTCTCCTGTCTCCTAGGACTGGCTCAGGATCACGCATGAAGGAGCTTGTTGTCTGCAGGACCTCCTCTTCATCTGTTGCAAAGGCTACAAGGTGCTTAATGAATGAGGAGAACAGAGGAACATCTTACTGCTCACACCCTGGACTGTCAGGATGTGGAGCTGGATGCTGCTGTCCTGCAGTGACAAATAACTCCTCTCTCCAGACTCCCCACAAAGCAGTTCCTGTGTTTTGCTCATTTTCTATCTGCCCCACAGAGGCTCTAGGGCTAATCTGCAGAAGTGTTGGGCATTCAATCATGAGTGAAGTCAGGAAGGCGGGGATTTAACAAAATATCTCCTGTATTACCACAAACATAAGACATGAGTTTGTAGAACTGAGAGTTCAGAATAATGCATTATAAGCCTATTCAACTTGAGTGCCTGAATTCCTTGTCTGTACCCCAGGAACTATGACGGAACATAAATGAACAACTGTTTGCACCGCACTTAGATGTTAGAGCATTACTTAGAAAGGATGGGAACAACATTAGTGTTTCCATCTTTAGAGTGGAGTTTGAATAGCAGACAGGAAATCGGGCATGAAACTGCCAACTGAACAGTGGAAAATAACTCACTGCATGCCATCCACCCCATGGGTGTCACACCCTTAAAAGTAATATGCAATAATATGAAAGTAATAGGTTATAATGTCCTTAAAAGTCAAGATCAAAAAAATATGAACAGGGAATGAGGAAAAAAGTGACCTAGAAGTATCTGTATTATGTACATTACTGGGGAAAAGCTGCTGTAATGTAGTCTTTTCTGCATAACAGGGTTTATGCTGAAAGATCTTGTTTCCACATGGAAAGTACAAAAATTCTGGTACATGAAGTCTAGAGGTACAGCTCAGTGCAATGCAGATCCACAATTAAGCTGTTTTGGAGAAAGTTTGTTCTAGAATATACAAACAACACGTCTGGACACTCCGTTCACCTGGCTTAGAGCAGGACCCATTAACTCCCTCATAACTACCCCAGGTATGGAACCACTTAATACAATTATTCTGTTTCCAGTGCTGACAGGGTGCTGTCTTGCACAATTGGTACATGTTTTGAGCAACCACTAATTGTGGAATGGGTGGAGAGCTTCCTTACAAACAAAAGCACAACCTGTTTTCAGCTTCAAAGGAGAAATGTGAATTTTTCAGTAATAATTATGTAATATTTTGTTAAGATTTTTTCAACAGCTGAGACTGATACCAATCAGTGGGTGGTTTCTATTATTCTTTGAAAGTTGGCACTAGAACAGCAAAAAACCCACAAAAAGTACACTGATGATGGAAAAGTATCACACTTACCCGTGGGTATTCTAATTTAAACAAGAAAAGTCTAATAACTTGGCTATTTGTTCCACTTCTTTCAAACAATAGACACACATACCTCAGGAACTAATCTAGAGCCATTTATTTGGGCAATCACTTCTGGCTCCTTAGAGCTCCCCAGTCTCAGTGTAGTTCTTAGAAAGATATGGCCTGGCCCTTCTTCTGCTTCCCTCCAAACTCCAGGACAAAGAAGTATCTCCCTTTTCCCAGCTGCTCAGTTCATGTCACAGAATGACTGAGACACATGCCACCCCCTTCTAAAATTTGGATTCCCTGAGAAAGAAATGAGACTAGACCAGTAGCTGGAATTGTCCTTGGTCTGTGTGTTTAAAGGATGAGGATCCTGAGACATGCCAAACTGCACTGGTTGCACAGATTAGACAAACCCATTTTTCAGCAATTATCTTTCTGGTTTATTATGTTTCGTTCCTATATTTAAATGAACAATTTTGAGAAAGCTTTTCAGTACAAAAGTACTTCTTCTCTCTCCAACAGCTGTTCTTAAGCAAGACTAAACATTCTTATGCAGTTTTTCAAAATCTTTATTGAAATCATGTTTCACAATACACTGGGAGATGAGGATGTAAGATTCACTTTTGATACCAAGGTGGATGTCCTGCAGGTGAACGCAGTGCCAGAGCTACTGCCCATAACCTGGACTTTGCTTGCTCTTAGATTATGTATCTGCAATACTGCTCACATGCTATGCTCAACAAGTAACAAACCATATAGAACCAAGTGTTTGGGCTAGGACATCATCATAAAGAAAATGAACATCCATGTCCTGGATTAGGGCAAATCTGGGAGAAAACCTCCAAAGGGGGCTCCCCCAGAAAACAAACCCACAAAGCCCCTTGAGCAAGAGCAAAGCAAAGCAGCAAAAAGCAAAGCCAAAAGCAAAAGCCGCACTATGTGCTGTCCCGTCTCTCTGTCCCACCAGCCGTGGGGGAGCAGGCTGATAACAAACCAAAACAAACCTCGCTCCTCAGAGCCAGTCTTGAAGGCACAGTACATAACATCCAGCACCAACAGAACACACGATTGGGGATACAAGCATCATAACCTCACCCTAGGACAATCCATTACAGTCTCGTGGGTAAAATCAGGGAGGGTGCATTGACAGTGCACGTCTGATATCCACTGGAAAAGGCTGCTCCCTGGATAACAGCACACTGTCTTGAAAGACCACAAAGAGTAATGAAGAAAACAGCAAATAACAACCTTGCTTTCTGGAGAGAAGAAAGGTCTTCACAGTGAGAGGAGCATTCAACATCCAACCAAAAGAAAACATCACCCTTCAGTTGTCAGCACTGGCACCCAGCAGAATTGCTCTGGAAAACTGTCAATCACATACCTGCAATTTCCATGCTCCATGAACACTACAGTGCTCTTCCTTCTACGGGGTGGGTCCAGGGCTTCACTGCACTGAGGTCATTTCAGGATGAAGAGTGGCACTCTTTGAGCACAGTTTTAAAAATTTCACTGCACTTATGTTAAAATCTCCTTTGGCTACATAAAAAATTTAGCACTTCTCAGGCAGTAATCCTCTGTCATTATTAAACTAAGCTAGATTCCCTCCCTTCCTCCTGGCCCAGAAGACATGTAATACAGGATTTTTGTGAATTTATACCTAAGCCAAAGATTTCACTTCATATATATTTAATGACCCGTAGTTGCATGACTCAGCAGTCAGTGGTTCAGGTAGTAGCATGCAGGAAGGTTCCAGGTCTGGCTGATTGCTGGATATAGAAACAGGAGCCTCCTGAGCAGCCAGAGAGTTGCTGTTCCTCTGCATTCAGCACTGCTGCAGCTGTTACCCAAGTCCCTGTGGTGCTCACCAAAGATGCTGGCAACTGGAGAGAATCAAGAACTGGAAAATACACTGCAACAACAATAACAGAAAAATATATATTGCAACAAAATTTCTGTTTAGCTTAACTAAGGTTATGGTTGTGCAGACAGCTCAAATGATGAAACAGCCTGTTACTGCCAGAGTGAAGCAAAACAACCTTCCCTCTCCTTCCCATTTCTCCTTCTGCTTCCTCCTTTCTCCTGTTTCCAGCCACACACTCCCTTGCTCTGGCTCATGCTTGTGCTTGAGAGAGTCTTTTGGCATATTGGTAGTATGGCTCACTAACCAGCAGAAAAGCACCCATGTTTTTTGGTGGATTTGATTTTTCCTGGGGCAATGAGTTAAACTCTCTCTCAGAAAAGCTTGGCAACTGCTGGGACTGGCTGAGGGCAGGAGAAAGAGACTGTAGGTGGGAGCAGACCTCCTTCCTGGGTGCTGGAGGACTTCTCCTCTACTGAACACTCTTCTTAGGTGAAGAGAAGCTCTAGGGCACTCAGCACATTTAATTGTTTGTATGATGAACAATATTTGACAACAGGGAAAGAATTGTAATGAAGAAGGGGAGACCAAAAATTGATGCTAGAGAAGCTCATAATCTAAATAAGGCAAAGACAGGTAATTATGGTAATTGACTTATGAAAGTCGCTTTCCAAGCTTGTTCTGGGATTTCTCTGTTGCTGGTACACTTTACATCATGGTTTCTTCAGGAGAGCCACTTCAGGATAAAAGCTCTACTTCTGATGCCTGCCCATGGGAGAAGGCTCAGGCAGGTGCTGGACCGTGGAACAGATGTGGTCACTCTGGCTCTGATGTGTCACAGCTGGCATCCACGGCAGACAGGCAAAACAAGGCACACACGACGCTGTTAGTGGAGAGCGCTTTATTACAGCAGGAAAAAAAGTAGGAAAATGAGCAGGAAATCGTATTTTTTCTCCATGAAGATGACAGCTATGAACCAATAAAGGCACACGAATGAGTCTAAGGCCCTACAAAAACAAAGAAATCTCAGGGGGAGGTTCAGAGGGGACCTCATCTCTCTACAGTTCCCCGACTGGAGGTTATGCTGAGGTGGGGGCCGGTCTCTTCTGCCGTGCCTGCAGTGAGGGGACCAGAGCAAATGGCCTTAAACTGAAACAGGGAAGACTCAGATCAGATATTACAAAAACTTTTTCACTGTAAGAGGCACTAGAATAGGTTGTCCAGGGGGGTGGTGGAGTCATCATCCCTGGAGGTGTTAAGAGACGTCCGGATCCGGCGCTGGGCGATGTGGTTCAGTGGTTACAGCGGTAGTGCCAGGTAGACGGATGGACTGGATGATGTTGAAGATCTCTTCCAACCTTGATGATTCCAAGATTCTACGTGAAACAAGCGGCCAGAGGGGAGCAAGGCCACAGCCACCCCGTTCGTACCCCTACGCCCCACAGCCGCCGGCGGCCAAACCCGGCCGCAGCCCCTTCCCCGCCGCCGCCGGAGCATGCGCAGGGCCGGGCCAGTTCCGCCGCCGCCCCCGCTCTGCTCATAGCGGCGCTGCCGGGATCCAGGGGAGCCGCTCCCGCCGCCCCTCTCCGTACTGCGGGCCCCGACGGACGGCAGCCAACAACCCTCTGGGCCGGAGGTAAGCGAAGGGCCGGCGGGCGGGCTCCCCTCCCCGCGGCCCTTTGTGCGCTCCTCGGGGCGGGCGGGGGGCTGCGGGCCGGGCATGGCGGAGCGGGGAGGGGGCGGCCGGCGCCGAGGCGGCCCCGCTGTGCCGCTTGCGGGGGCGGTGTGGGTGCCCGCTCCAGCCGCGGAGCTGTGTCCTGCTCCTGCGGGGCCGCCGCTCCCCGCAGCCGGCCGGCGGGAGGGCTTCAGCCGGGCTCGGGGGGCTGCCGGCCCGAGGGGCTCCTCCGCCCGCGGACAGGGAAAGCAGCGCCTGGATAAGGCCCCGTGGGACTGACTGTGCCCGGCCCTCGGGTTTGGGAGCGCTCCTGGCCCCTCCTTGGGGCTCCGCGGCCGCTGCACGGGGGCAACTAGGGCACTTATATTGAGTTTCTTGTGACGGGCTGAAAGGTGCTGCAGCAGTGGAGTGATACGGCGGGCCTTTCCAGGGAGGGGAGCCCTGCTGCAGGTCTGAAATGGAGGCAGCAGGTTTCGGAGCTGAGCGCATAATGAGGGCAATTGCTCCCAGCCTAATTAGATATGTATCAGAAGGGAAATACTGAGTTATTAGTGGAGAACGCGACTTACGAAACCGTTCCTCGGTTCGTGATGTCTCAGCCTGACCTTCGGGAAGTGTTGTCCTCGCTGTGCTTTAAAGATTAATTTCGGGGCTCATAAGCTTCTAATTGCTGGAAGTGGGAACCAGTGTTCCACTATAGGTGCCAGCATTATGGCCTGTGTGCTTTTTCCACGGGCTCAGGAGGAAGACATATGGGGGGAGGGCGTTTTTGGTTTGTTTTTTTTTTTTTTTTGACCCTTCCCACAGTTTTGTCTGCTGGTGCTTTCAAAGACAGCAGTCACTACAGGCTGGTCAGATTGGGGTTTAGCAGGATCATCCTGTGTTTTGTTCATGCTTCCCGACCTGAACAATGCGTTGGGAAGCCCGTCTCCTCCCAGCCACGGCACCGAAAGCAGTTCGGGATCACTCCCACCTTCGAGACTTCCTGCTGGCAGGCTCAGGGTGTCACGAGTGACGCCTTTCATACTTCTCCTATCGGTGGCCCTGTACTTCCCTCTGGCAAACAGGATCTCCTTAGTGGGACGTGCTGGCAGGGGCAGTCAGACTTTCCAGCCAAGCGTACTGAAGAGGGGGGCAAGGTCTTTACTGCCAGGTTTGTGGGTCGCCAGCTGAGTTACAGCTCCTGCCCCATGCCTTTCCTTTTGTTTTCATTTCTATGTCCTGAAACACTTGGTCTCCTCACAGTATGGAAATGATTGGGGAAAGTGATTCTGATGTTGGTGTAGATTTTTAAGAGAGAAGAGGAGGTTGTAGTGACTCACGTTTTGTGGTATCCACTCCCTAGTGCCTAAAGCCGTTACAGCAAGCACCAGCTGAAATTCATGTTTGTATTGTGAATAACATCGGACAGAAGTCGTGGACTAGTTCTTCCTGCAATTAGTGGTGGTCCCGAATGGTGTCAATTGTTACTTAAAAATCCTTTTCTAAACTGAATATAATATTTCTGTGGCTCTCACATTATATAACACGGGGCAGTTTGTTACCATGTGAAAAGTTATGAGCTCTCTGAATGCAGTTACAGTGGTGACTGTTCTTCTGGCTATTTAGTTGGAAAACCAAAACCAGGAACTGGTGGATTTATGACGAGGGAGCCAGCCCAGCAGATCCTTGGTGACAAACACTTGGGTTTATTAACCCTTGGCTGGGGAGGGGAGGCTGAGAGGATTGTCAAAGAGCAGGATAAACTTCTGGAGTGTTGTCTTACGTAATCTGAACACTAGTATTTGTTTAGCTTTGCTAATTTACAGAAGGTACTGTGCTCCTCTTTATAAACTAATGGAAGGTTGAGGTTGCCTGTCTGTGACAAATGTGACCAAGTAACTGTGTGCAGACTGGTCTGTGGATGAGAAATAAAGCTGGCCATGGTGTTCTGTGGAAGTTGGTCACAGGGGCAGGGGACCTGGCATTCCCTGTGCTGTTCTCTGCAGCTCTGTGGCTGCCAAGATCATCACCTGCAAAGTTCTACTATTGTGCCCCATATCACCCTGCCATGGGGTGACTCCTTATGGAACACGCTGTCCTTGGCCTGCCCTCTCCTGCTGCCAGGGGTGTGCTGACTCTGAACATGTGCCAGTACTGGGACCAGCACCTGTATCTACCAGGGCTGCTGCAGCACAGAAGGAGATGCTGAGTCTGGTGCTGTGTGTGCCTTGACTGGTGTGAGCAGCCAAATGGAGCATCCAGGAACCACTTACCTGACCAAGGGCTTTGGCTTACATTTGCTGTTACCCATTTTGGATGACCAAAAGCATTTCATGTTTTCAGGTCAATGCTGGATTAAAACAGAACTTCAAACTGGCCTTAAATGCATGTGTTTAATTTATAGTTTCCAGGCTTTAACTATGGTAGAGTTGCAACAATTAATCAAAAAAGTCAGTGGCAATTAATTATTCTAATATAACAGGCCACATGTTTGCAGTTTAGATCTCTGTCACATTTAGAGCATGCTTTTTTAAAATTTTAATTGCAGTTTGACAAGATACTGGAGCTGTTGGGCACTGCTGAACAAACATAAAGGCTGTTGATGAATTTAGTGTAATATGAAGAGATGTCTATTGTGTTACTGCAGTATCACATTAGGCATCTGTGTGTGTGGTGCTCATTTAGAAATGGACTTTGTGTCTGCACTTAAAGAAGCAATAGTGCAAGGATTTATGTAATGGTTACTTTTAGTCTGAAATTTTTGCTAAATTGCTGCTTTAATAAGAACCTCTTTTCTTTGAATGAGAAAATGAATCCCCAAACCAAAAACTTTTATTAAAACTTCTGTATTAACTATGTTCTCAGTACCTTCTGTGACTTGTAAAACTGTATCACATTTCGTTGTCTTCCAGTTATGTCCCTGTCCATCCCTCTCACTAAAATGGTCCCATATACTGATGTGGAATGTTTTATTGTGGGTTTCAAAAGTTCAGCTAATCTCAGTGAGAGTGTGAGTTAAGGAGCTCTGGAAAAATGGGCTTTCCTGCTTTCCTGAAGCCTCAGGTGACTGGTTCTAGGAGAGCTGGATGTCAGCATGGTGCCTTAGAATATCACGTGAAGTGTTTTTTTGGGGGTTTTTTTTGGGTTTTGCCTAGGGTTTGAGGAATTTTTCCCTTTTTTTTTTTTTTTTTTTTTTTTTAATTCCTGCTAAGTTGTCACAGGGGCTCTCTGAATATCACATGACAGCCAGCCTGGAATGTCTGTGTTTTGAAACTCACCACTGACTCAGTCTTCCTAGTTTATACAGGTCCCTTGCTGCAATTAATGTGTTGCAAATGGAGGTGGGAAGCCAAGGTCTCTTTTAGTGGCTTCTTGCTGGATCTCACGATTTAGCTCCAGCCGAAAACTGAGCACCACAAAATTGCTTGCTGAGTCCCTCTGCCCCAGCAGGATGGGGGGAGAGAATCTGAAGAGTAAAGTGAAAAGTCATGGGTTGATGTAATTAGATAATGTGACAGAAAAGGAAGAAAAAAAAATTAAAATAGTTGGAATATATAAAATCTGTGATGCACATTCCTATTGCTCACCGGTTGCTGACCGATGCCCATGCCTTTGGCCAGGTTTTCCCCCAGTTTATATACTGAGCCTGATGCCACGTGGTATCCCTTTGGCCAGTTTGGGTCAGCTGTCCTGACTGTGTCCCCTCCCAGCTCTTTGTGCCTCTCCAGCCTTCTCACTGGCAGGGCATGAGAAACTGAAAAGCCCTTGACTTAGCATAAACACTTTTTAGCAACAACTAAAACAATTAGTGTGTTATTAATATTCTCATCCTAAATCCAAAACACAGCACTAGGAAGAACATTAGCTCTATCCCAGCTAAAAGCAGGTCAGTGGAATATTACAAGTGTTGAAAGTGTTTAAATATTTTAGACAATAGAGTGGAAGCTTCCACAGCTGAATGTAAAATACTGTCCCTGTTGGGATGGGAGTGATTAGGTTTTTCCTCTTAACCTCATCGTATTTGCATCTTGGCCTCCTAAAGTCTCTCTTTGCTTCCTGTGAAATGTTTTGCTCTGTGTAGGTTTTCTCTTCATTGAGGCCTAAACTTTGACAGTGCTAAGTATATTAAATAAAGCCTATTAGCCAAAGGCTGCTATTGATAACAGATTAAATGGGTAGTCTTAATGGAATTCATCCATTAATTCAGTGCCAGATATCTTTACTGCTGACTGGCAGGTCACAGAACACTTGTTTAGCACTTAGTCTGGTTAATTTATTTAAAAGAAAAAAAAAATTAAGAAGTTAAACTCTGTAAATATCTGAAAGCTAATCCTGTTGTTTGTTTGCTTTCCCATCTGATTTTTCTTTCTAGTCTGCCCTTTGCCCAGTAGGACTTCATCAAAATGTCTCTCTATCCTTCCTTAGAAGATCTGAAGGTGGACAAAGTTATTCAGGTATGGTGGACTTAAAAAAAGATGAGTTTTGCTGACAACAATGTATTTGGTATTTAATCCAGGAAAGGGGAGACTTACTTTAGTTGAGAACTTGTTTTATCATCTCACTCTGAAAGGGAAAAGACAACCTGTTTACTTTGTAGCTTGATCTAATGTGATTAATGCTTATTTTACCACCTGGATATATTTATTTTGCTTCATCTATTCATTTGTGTTCATTTGTCTTTAATATGTTTGTGTTCTTTGAAGTATAGATACATGGTCTTAAGTAGACAAATACAGTCAGTCTCTTCACATACTTCAGCTCTGACTTGATGATTAAACTAATAAATCTGCTGCATCTCATTCCCAGTGTCCAAATCTATGGCAGAAAGTTTTTGTGGTCATTTGAGCACAAAAAAAAAAAAAAAGTAACCGGAATCAGACTTGTCCTTTGGCTATTTCATGGTAGTGACCAGTTCTCACAGTACATCCAAGATTATCACCTTTGTGCAAAACCCTTTATGTGTAAGAATATTGGTAGTTTTATTATTAGACGTGATGAGGACTAAAAATTATCTGTGAAACAAAATAATGAAAAACACTTGGATGGATTAACAAGTCTGTGAGAAGCTTGATGTGGATGTATTTCACAAGGAGTTTCCTTACTTTCTTCAACGTTTTACCTTTTCCTGAACTTAACCTGCATTCCTTCCTGGTTTAAACAACAGCAAGAAGTTATAGTGTGTTTTAAGGTGGCTGGTACTTCTGTCCTTGCTGTTTTCATTGGGAAGCAATCAAGCAAACTACAAGAACATCTTCTTAACTCTCCTGTGCTATCCCAAAGTGCAGTGCCCTCGCTCATCTGTGTTTGTATGTGTGGGGTGGGGCTTTTGAAGTTGTGGGTGTTATGTTGGGATTGCTCCTTGTTGTGTCCTCCCACTCAATTCTTCTTATGTAACCACAGTCCTTTATCTACAGTCTGGTAATGCTGTACTCAAAACTGAGTAGCCTGGAGCCAAGAACATGCTCCTTTGGCCTTTTATTGACCAGCTGCTAGAGTTTATATATTACAGTTGAAAATTGTCATAAAATGTAATCAGGACGCCGTTCCATTTTCACTGATACTTTTCATAGAATCACTGAATATTTGGGTAAAAGTCCTCTGCAACAAGCAGGGACATACTCAATTCCATCATTTTGCTCAGATCCTTAAATGTCCCAGCCTGACCTTAAATGTCTTCAGGGATGGGGCATCTAGCACCTCTCTGGACAACATGTTCCAGTGCTTCACCACCCTAATTTTGAAAAACTTGTTTCTCATATCTGGTCTAAATGTAAATCTAACCCTCTGTTAGTTTAAAACCTTTATCCCTTGTTCTATTGCAACAGGCCCTGCTAAAAGGTCTGTCACCCTCTTTCCTATAAGGCCCCTTTAGTATTGGAAGGCTGCTGTAAGGTCTCCCCAGAGCCTTCTCTTCTCCAGGCTAAACAGCCCCAGCTCTGGCAGCCTTTTCTTGTAGGAGAGGTGTTCCATCTTCTGATTGCTTCTGTGGTCATTTCTTTGGGACCTGCTCCAACAGGTTCATGTCTTTCCCATGCTGGGGATCTCAGAGCTGGACAACATTCCAGGTGGGGTCTCACAAGGGCTGAGTAGAGAGGCAGAATCACCTCCCTTGACCTGCTGGCATCAAAGGCTAGATTATTTCTTTCTCTCAAATAATGCATTATGAAAATGCTGTCTCTTTAAATAAGTCTGAGAGCATTCTTAGGAGAAGAGGGGGCAGAGTGCTGAAAGATGTCTGTATCTGCAATGAGTGACTAAGATTCAAATGACTGCTGGCTAAAACAAACAGACTTGTTACATTAAATATTATTCTAACCTGCTCTTTTTGTCCGTCATTTGAATTGGAGCCTGTGCTTCTAAATACACGTGATATTGCTAAATAATGACTCATTCTTGCTGTGAAACCTTTTTTTAAAGACAACTTCCTGGAGTGAACAGGACTGAGAAGTTTTCTATTTTTAAGTGTTTCCTTAACATCATGAAGTAATTTGACTGTCATGTTGTGTTAGAAAATTTGTGTCCAGTTCAGGATAACATTTCAGTATGCATTGAGTACTTCCTCCCCCTGCCCCCCCACCTTTGACATTCTACCTCAGGAAAGTTACTGGAATAGCTATTTCCATCATGCTTAAGAGGCCTCTCTAAGGCTGTGTTTTTCACTGGTCATGAACACACAAGGCTGAAAAATAGAGCTGAGGTATTGAGAAGGAAGGAAACTGACTCACAAATATAAGAGAACTTAATAAAGTAAGCCAGTCAGCAATACAGAAATAAAGCTTAATGTGTTCACTGTAGTTGCTGTAGAAAAATCATCTTGGAAGGTCTGATTCTTTGAGAAAATATACTAGTAGCACTGGATTGCATGGAACTTGACACCTGAAAAGAACTATGTATCTCACTAATATAAATGGTCTGTAAATGGTGTGAAGAAGTAAAACTGCTAGCTAGCTGAAAAGAGTAATTGCAAAACACTGCTAAAGGTGACACCTTAAAACTTATTTGGTAAGCTTTTTTGGACAAATGCTTCCTTTAAGGCTTTTTAACTTTCTTGATGACGTAAATAGAACAGGTTGACAGGAAGACCTTTCTGCATTATCACTGTAGCTTTGTCTCTGAGGAAGATAGGAGTTGATCTGCCAGAGTAATTTTGATACCATCACAGCATGTTGTATTGAATCTATTTATTTAATATAAAAAGTTTGATTTCATTACTTCAAGATTAATAGTAATTAGCATGTACAAGAAAAAAGAAAATACTGAGTTTCCTGCCTGCATAATTAAGATTTATTTTTTCTTATACAAGATAACATATGTGAGTTTCTTTGCTTTTAGGCTCAGACTGCCTTTTCTTCAAATCCAGCTAATCCAGCAATCTTGTCTGAAGCTTCTGCTCCAATTCCTTGTGATGGAGGTAAGCTCATGTACTGCATAGTATCCTATGGGTAATGTTTGGAAAGCAGTTATGAAATCCTAAAGTTAACATTACAGTCAAAAACAGCTATAAATATGTTACCTTATTTACAAAGGGAAATAAATATTAATCTGTTTATATTTCCATTTTGGAAATGCTAACACCCACTGCTGTAAGGTGCTATAGGAGTCAAAACAACAGTGTTTACTTATAAAAGGAAGTTGTGGCAAGCAGTCACCCTTCTCTTTTTGTAAACTTTTCCAAGTGATCCTAGCATAACAAGATTTGATGTTGGTGCCTTTGGGCTCTGTTAGCTCTTACCTCAGACACTCGGTTGTCCTTATTTGTATTATATAGGTATTTGTAAGCTTTAGAGGACAGCATGAGTCAGAGTCTTTACACTGAGTTTGCTTTGGGACAAAGACAAATCTCTGTCAACAAGTGCCCAGGAAGCTGGCACTTAATCTTGTTGTGCAACCAACATAAAGCTTGCAACAGATTTTGGAATCAGATGTGTGGTGGGAAATCCATCAGATCTAAAGCTGAATGATTTGTACTTGTACTTTCTCCTTCCTTTCTCCCATACACATGTACATCCACAAAGGTGCACAGGTATGATCGAGGTTAGAGCTCTGCTTTAGTAAATTACTCCTGGTCTAAAAGGCCTAAAGCCTTATAACCAGCAAGACCAGCAGCAGTGCTGGAATGGTGGTCAGGAATGCTGGTTGATCAGATATTAAAGGTTGGTGGATGGAACTTTGTCTCCAGTTCTCCTCTGGCTGCTTCTATGTCTAAGACAACTTTAAGGCCGATGTTTGCACAGCTCACCAGAGTTGCCTCTGGTAGATCCTATCTGGATTAGGTACCTGGCCTAACCTCACCAGACCAGGTCTGAGTTTGGTTCAGCAGTCTTGGCAGCACTTTTACTGCTGTCCATAGTTTGAATTCTCCTGCATGTATTTGGCAAGCAGGAATCGAGACATAATTTTGACATCAGTTTGTGTGTGAATTGCTCTGGAATTCTGTGTCTGGAGAGTGATTAATCATTCAATATATCCCAAAAGAAGGCCTTACATCACCTACAGGATGTGCCAGACACACTAGAAATGCTTCTGTTCTGACAGAAACAGGAGACTGTACAACAACAAGAGTTTTGTGTTCTGCTATGTGTTCCATTATTTGGAGCACTGTTTTAAATGAGAATTTAATTCAACCAGCAAAGATGCATCTGGTGTAGTAAAGAACAAAAGAGAAGAATTGGGTAGCTGCAGAAATCTTGTGCTATGTTGTGTATAATCCTAGGGGCTTGCTTGAAAAACCAAGCAAAAATAGAACATTTATTCATCAAAAGCTTTTTAATCAATATTGATGAAGATAAAAGCTTCTGGATTAGTTGAGAAATATGATCAGACTGCTCTCATGCAAAGCAGCATATTAAAGAGCAAAAAATCTCTTGTTTATACTGGCATTCACCTTGCATTGACCTTTGCTCCTTCCCAGAAAAGTTTCTGTTGCTGGTCAGACATGGATTCTTAAAATAGCTGTTTTTATACATTTATACCCATAAATGAACACTAGAAGCCTAAGCCTTGTGTACTGGGGTGTGTGGTTGCTTCAGAAGCCCTTCTTTCCACTGCCTCTCTCTACAAGCAGCCTTTCTGTCCCCAGTCATTTAGTGAGAATGTCAGGGAGACTCTTAAGAGTTCTCATAACTGGCACTTGTTAGATGGCAGCAGTTAATGATCTGTGGAATGTCAAGAGCAATATCAAGTTTATTTCCAAAGTTGTTCAGCTCAAGGTCTGCCAAGTCTGTCAGTTCAACTTCCTTTCCTCCCACTCCTTGTGCCTCCCTCTGCTTGGGTATAGAGGGATGTTTTAAAGTCTGTTTTTTGTCTTGTTGAGAGGCATGTATAAAGCCCCTTCAGTTTGAAGCTGTGACAAAATGACAGCTACTTTCTCATGAAAACTCAAAGCAGACTGTAGTGTGAACCTTAGAACCAGGAGGCTTCTGCAGAAACATTCCCATGCCCTGGATCTGGAATATCCTTGGCATGAATGCCACTTGCTGTTTTGAGTTTGGTAGAAGGCCTCTGTGTGTGTTCTTCAGCACACCTGGTTTGGGGGTGGGGAAGAGAGCAGTTCTCCACTAATTGCCCAGAAGTTCTAGAGTTTAAGGGTGTGTCCTTATGCAGTGCAGTACAGTGTTGGTTTTGGAACATGTCACCATATGTCTGTTGTTTGTGTTGTAAAGGGTGAATAGAGTAACTGAAACTGAAAGTTCTCCTGTAAGTTCTTTATCTCAGAAGTGCTGCTTGTCTGGTTACTCTTCTGAACCAGGCCAGAATAACAGTTCTGATTCAAATGGATCTTCTGCCATAATTTTCCAATTAAATGATTACAGAAACACAAGATTTGTTGAAGTAATTGTGCATGTGAAACCAAACTCCTCCTCCTTTTAAACCAACTGTTGTATTGATTTTTGTTTTGTTTTCCTCCTGTAGGCTTGTACCCCAGACTGTATCCAGAACTTTCTCAGTATATGGGCCTGAGCCTCAATGAGGAAGAGGTGCAGAGAAACTTAGCAGTGGCAGCATCTGCTCAGCCACAGGGTGTAGGTACCAGTCATGCATATTCTAGAAAAAGTGTAAAGACTAAATTTGTATCTAGCCTTCTAGAGAGCAGATTATTATTTACCTTAAGTGCTGTACTTGACTGAGAGGTGACTTGTCTAAGTTGCAGTGCCTGTTTTAGTCTGTTCTGAAACTGAGCAGTCCATTTGCAGTGTTGGGAGGGGGTGGGGGAGACTTGGTGTTGTGGTTTATTTTGTGTGGTTTTTTTTCCTAAACATCAATTCATACAAACTGACATATAGCTATTCTTAAAAGTTGAAACTAAGTTGTCTGGCTGTTTTGTTTTAATCAGCAACTGGTAACACGACCTTCTACTAATTACATGGTAGCTCCAGTGACTGGAAATGATATTGGAATTCGCAGAGCAGAAATTAAGCAAGGCATCCGTGAAGCAATTCTGTGTAAAGATCAAGATGGCAGAATTGGACTTCGCCTTAAGTCTGTTGATAATGTAAGTGTAGAAGTTGCTTTTTCCTCTAGAGATTTTACTGCTGGACTATATTAGTAGTGAAGTTAAGATGTGGTCACAAATAGTCTTCTGTATAATGGTTTCTTATCTGTTACCAGAATTTTAAAGTGCTTTGTTAGACTTGTAACTAGATTTCCAGCTTTCTGAACTAGGCTGAATTTATAGCTGCAGTTTAATGTCATGTGTTTTATAAGCCTGAAAAATACATGCAATATTTTTCGTTTCACTTTACAGTGTGAGCTTGTCCTTGCATACTTGCTGTGGTACTTCTTACCAGTTCAGGACTGCTTGTTTTTACGTTTATGGGAATACTGGGCAGTACTTAATATTCAGCAGTATGTAATAACTGCCCACAGTTTAGAACTAGCTCCTTTTTTTGTAAAAGGTGCTTAAAGCATTTAATATGAATGTTTTAAAAAATTGTACTGAAGGTAGCATATAGGGTTAAAATACTTTTCTGTAGTTCTTCTAATGCAGAAAATGGGATTTTCTTAGAGTAGCATGGTGTAGTGGTGTTTTTTTTTTTAACACCCCTCCTTCCCAGAGGTATTACTTATAATTTGCTTTGATATGTTTTACTTTGTTTTCAGGGGCAGTTTCACTAGAAATAATTTTGTAACACCTGTTAAAACAGACAAGTATTTACCCCTTTGCTCAAGACTTCAATGTTATGCTCACATTTTTTTATTTTTAATATTTGGAGATCTTGACAGATTTGCTTGTTTTTTAAACTTTTTTCTAGCATTATCTGTCAGACTTTTAAATATATCTCGAAACAGACTGAAATTTCAAAAGTGTCCCTTAAGAACAGATAATTAACAAGTCCTTCTCTCTTGTCTGTTTGGCTGATGTAGAATGTTTCCATTGTGTAGAATGGGAAACATTAGGGGCTGTGTGTTCTGTGACTGATCTTCATCTTTAAGCAAGAACTTCCCCTTCTCCTCCCCTCTCTTTTTTCCCTCTCTTTTGTAGGGTATATTTGTCCAGTTAGTTCAGGCTAACTCTCCAGCATCCCTTGCGGGTCTGCGGTTTGGGGACCAAGTTCTGCAGATCAATGGTGAAAACTGTGCAGGATGGAGTTCTGATAAAGCACATAAAGTTCTCAAACAGGCTTCTGCAGAAAGGATTTCAATGATCATTCGGGACAGGTAAAGCCAGCTGCAGACATGGATTTGCCATTATCCATCACTGAGTAATTCTGAGGGGTTTGGGTCTCTCCTTGCTTGAGCAGGTTTAACAAAATCTGCTTCTCCATGTGCTTCAGTAGTAAAGATCTTCAGAAATGTTCCCTTTTGTGGGGAGCAATCAAAATGGTTCCTAACTTGTAAACTTCCTGGGCATGATGAGGCGTAACATTTTTCCAAGATAAACTAGTGAGTGAGAGATGCTACAAGTTAAATTTAAACTCTGAAGAATTCTGTGCTTTTTTTCAGATACAATTTTTTTCATTTAGTATAAGTGAAAGTCAACAATAAAAGTAACAAAATGTTTGCTGTATTAATTAATACACTTGCTTTTTATGTAGCATGATAGCTTTTCTTGTGGTCTCTGTTGGTTACATAGGAATTAATGCCAATTTTACTAAAAGCATGCTTGATGACCCAATTTGTTTTTTAAATAATGATCTTGTAGCTAACTGTATGTAGTAACAACGGGTCAGATTCAACATAAGGCTTGTAGGCTGCAAGAAGACAGATGATACTTCATGTGACTAAGTTTATGCCTCAAAGCTTTTTCCATGTTCTTTCCTGCTTAAGAACCAAGCCTGACTCAGTGGAGGGCAGCTGCTTTGATTGGCAGTTACTTCAAACACTGAATTTAAAATACTGTGGCCACAGATTCCCTGCTGTGTGTACCACTTGTGTGCCCAACATGGCACCCCCTTTCTATACCTACTGGCTTTTTAAGACATAATTTAAAGGTTTATTGTCTCCAAAGCAGTTGAAATGTTGTTGGGGAAGCCTTGTGCTCTCAGAAACCTGTAATCTACCTACAGTTGTTGAAACTGCACTATTTTATCAACCTTGCAATGTTTGTAGAGAACTTAATTTTTAATGGATGTTTGTTCAGTTGGGGTGGTGGGTGGGTGGATGTTGTATAGGATTTTTGTATTATTATTAATCCAGATGGCAAAATATCTGTAGAACAGGGAAAACATGTAAGGTTTATATAAAATATATTTTAATACAATATTAACAAAATGAAGTTAAACCAAAAAACTTTTCATTGTAGAAAATATGAGTGCCTTAGAGTAAAATTACTTTTGATAAGCTAAAGATGCTAAAATAGAATGTGTTTTTTCTGTGATTTAGTAGACTGAAGACATTGCTTTTTATTTTAAATGTATTTTTAGACCTTTTGAACGAATTATTACCATGCATAAGGACAGCACAGGGCATGTTGGTTTCATATTCAAGAATGGAAAAATAACCTCAATAGTGAAAGACAGCTCTGCTGCAAGAAATGGACTTCTGACAGAGCACAACATCTGCGAAATTAATGGCCAGAATGTAATTGGGTTGAAGGTAAAATAACTACTATGTAAGGGGTGGAGATAGCTGTGAGCTTTTTATGTTTGTATAGTGTGTTTTGGAGAGAATAAAAACGTTGTGATATATTGTTGGGTGTTCATAAAATAAAAGCTTCAGTCATGATGTAACTTGACTGGAGAGACATGGATGTTTTGGGCTTCTGTGCCGTTTTGTGTTGGTTGTCAGGGCAGCTCATTCTCATTCTCTCTGCCTCTACCTGGCAAGGCTGGGCCCCCTTTTTTTATCTGTAGTCCAACCTTGCTGGCAAAACAAAGAGTAAGCTTCCTCCTTCCAACCTACATCAAATTTTAGCAGGAATTGTGTATGACTTGTGTGTCCCTTCTCTAGTCAGTTCATGCAAGATACTCTTAACCAAACATCTGTGAAGTGGCATTGCAGTTTCAGTGATTTGTCCTGAAGCTTGAGCGCTCCAAACAAGGAGCTGGGGGGGGTCTCAAAGCCACGTGAAATGCGTCTAGAAAAAGCTCTTGAGCTGCTGCTTTCTTACTCAGCTTGAGTTGTGTTGCTCATATGACTTCTTGTTCCCTGACAGGACTCGCAGGTTGCAGACATCTTGGCAACAGCTGGAAACGTAGTGACCATCACTGTCATGCCTTCCAGTATTTATGATTATATAATAAAGAGGTAGGTAATACAAAGCAGCCATGGTGTTTTTTATAATCCAGTGGACAGTGACTAGAAAGTGTACTCATGATAAGATGTAATTACAAACTTTACTTGAAGACTGGAGGAAGGGGTGGGGATGCCTGAAAATTTGTTTAATCTGATGTTTTGGTTAAATTGGTGTGTTGGCACTGTTTCTACCCCGTTCTGTGATGATCCTTTGCCTTTTTATCTCTGGAAAAAACCTTTTCTAAACTTCTTTTGACGAAGCCTGCATTTTTAAGAACTGGATACTGCAAGTATTTGTTACCTTTTAACTAAAGTGTTGTTTGTAGTGCAGGTAATTTCTGTGGCATAAAAGTGATTCTGGGCAGGATAGTTTTGGGTTTCTTCCTAATCCTTTGGAAACAATGGCTTTCTACAACTAAATCTGTCCTGCAAAAATATTTTTGAAGTTGCTAGACATTGATAATGCTTCAGGTGTAATTGAATCTTGTTTTCCTGGTTTTTTTTTTTTTCGGGTAAAGGAAAAAGATACCTGCTTTGCTTTGTATCCTCTTTCTGCAAAGCAGTTTTCAGTCTAACAGCCACCTTTCCCTCTGCTCTCCTTCCCTTGTGCTTGTACTCTGCTTGCATACATATCCATACCCTGAAAGATACCAACAACACATAAAGTGTTGAGTATTGTGGGCTTCTGTTCAGTCTTGGGGTGTAGTTTGGTGCACCTGTCTGTAGCAACTTGTCAAAAATAGTGGAGTGAAAGTCTAGCTTCAGGTTTGTATTGAAGGACTGGCAAAGACAAAACTTAAGTGGTCTTCTGTAGTTGTCTTACAAACCTAAATGCCTTTTCATTTTCCTTAGGATGGCAACTAGCATCATGAAGAGCCTGATGGATCACTCTGTTCCCGAAGTCTAAACTTGCACCATGGATGTGTGTGTACATATATATAATGATGATTCCACTAAACTTGGGCTATTATACTCAGTGATCTCTTTCTTCTGCACATGAGCCTTTCTGGAGGCTGAGAGAAGATATGCTGCATCAAGCATTTGCATCTATAATGGCTGGGAATGTCACCGTTCAACATATCTCGTGTATTCACACACTGTAAAACTTGCAGCCTTACATGCTTGACAATGTGAAATTCCAATTGTGTTATGACTTCTTTTTGTAGGTCTTTTATTTAGCTTACTACTACTATAAGCCATTGCAACTAAAGGAACCAGGTATCACTTGCAAAGCTACATGTTGTTACCCAGGACAATGCTGTGCTTTGTATGTCTAAGACAAATGAGTATTTTTACTGCTTTTTGTTTGCAAGAGTAGATTTGAAATAGCATATTAGAAGTAAGGCTAGTACTAGTTAATTTTTTGTTCTAGTAAATACTGTTTACACAAAAATGCCACCTAGCTGAATATAGCTCAAGGCATCAGTCAGTAAGCGTTAATTCAAGTAGTGTACAGATACTCAAATCTTTTTATTACTTGTTATATGAATTGTAACTAATATGCTTCTCTCTCGCCTTAACCATGTTCTTTTAAGAATTTAGACATAACCAAATAAATGACCAAAACTTTACATCTGTGTGTGTACCTATTTAAGATGAGGTAAAACAGGCTTATTTTATCGAGATCAGTTTCAGCCAACAACTAAGACAGGAAATGCAGTGTAAAATATTTTAAAAAGCTTACTCCTTTTAACATTGAAATGTTTTAGAAGGGGTAGCTCTGGGCTACTTTAAGATGTGTTGAATGGAAAAAATTCTTCACTGTGAGGGTGGTGAGGCACTGGAACACGTTGCCCAGAGAAGCTGTGCATGCCCCATCCCTCAAAGTGTTTAAGGCCAGGCTGGATGGGACCCCAGCAACCTGTCGAGTAGAAGGTGTCCCTGCCCATGGCTGGGAGTTGGGAACAAGTGGATCCTTAAATCTCTTCCAGCCCAAGCCCTCTTACGATTCTAACTCTTTCCACCTTAAGCTTAACATATGGAATAGCAACCAGCTGTTCTACAAGATGTACTAATTGTAGAGTTGCAATTTCACTGTAAAATGGCCTACAGCTTGCTGGGTGTGCTGGATCTAGCTGGGTTAATGAAGGTAATGAAGTAGGGGTTGAAGTTAATTTTCTTGTAGGAGCAGGTCTGGGGCTGTGTTAGAGGGCTGTGACCAAAGCAGGGCTGATAACGAAGCAGGGTGTTTGCTGAGCTGTATGTGCACGGTGTCAAGGCCTCTCCTGCTTCTCACTCTGTCCCCTCTCCCTAGGGAGCAGGAGGTTGAGAGGGAGCACAGCTGGAGCCACTGATACAAACTGGCCAAAGGAGAATTCAACACCATTTGACATTATGCTCAGCAATAATTAGGGGGAAATCTTTCCAAGGCAGTTGTTGTTCTGGGCATCAATCTGCTGGAGCAAAACAGGTATGATTATCTTTAAATCACTGCTTTTTTCTTCCCCACTTTCTATTTTCCCTTTGCTTAGTTCTCCCATTCATTGCAGTCTATAAGTTTTCGTAGCTTTTTGCACTTTTTAGTGTCTTGCCCCTCTTGCTGTGGGGCAAGGTGAGTGAGAAATTGATCACTGGGACCAGTCCACCACAACAGGTCAGGAGCATGTTCAACTAAGACTTGAAGTTTAGTGATTGCCTTTTTACTATTTTTCCCCCTCTGCTCTGTTCCAGGTTTCAGCTATGAAATCTAGAATTACTGAACTTCAGTTTTTCTCATAGTTGGCAGCACCATGAAGTCACAGCAAAGAACTTGTATTCAGCAGAGGTATTATTTTGTAAAGATTTATTTGGGGAATCAGTTCAGCTATTCCTTCAGAACTTACTTGGATCAAGAATTGGTCTGGGGGTGGTGGTGGCATCTTAGTTATTTTTTTGCTTGTCCATTTAAGGGACATATGCAAAAGATTCCAAGAGATCACACCAAAAAGAAAAGCAAACACTTCAGAGTTTGGCAGTCTGTAATAAACTTCCTCACTGGCATGTGTAGTTAACTGTAGCTTTTCCTGGGTTGGGAGACCTGCTCTTCCAGGAAGGACTGAAGTTCAGCAGTGAAGAAGGGTCTTGGTATGTAGCTTGCTGTTTCTCAAATGAATTTCTCTGTTATGGTAAACCAGAGAAAACCATTACAGCACTTCAGGCTGGAGAAGTGATCAAATTCATCCGGCAAACCAATTTAATGGGACTGTTTGGTTACTAAATGATGTGTCTCTGGAACCGCTGTGGCAAGCTTACACTGGTAGTAATTGGTAGCTTCATGTAGCATTGGTATAACTCAGCCTCATGGGCCTAGCCCTGTGCCTGCAGTCATCTCTAAGGGCTTTGCCAAGCTCCTCTGCTTAGCTGTGCAATCCCTGGAGCCCAGACACTGATCTCTGCTTCTAACCAGTTTTTACTTAGGAGCAGATGAGTCAGCAAGGGCTGATTATAGTTCTAATTGGGCTTTAAAACTCTGTCTACAGCTTAACAAGTGGCATTTGGTTACTTAAATCTTGTGACTCCCTACTAAACAAATCATGCTAAAACTAAAACTGAAAAAAAAGAGTAAATCAAGACAACAATATGTTGGGGGAATGTAAGATGACAATACTTTTTTTTTTTGTTATCAGCCAGATGGCTGGAACTACTGGGGCAATCTATTGGAAAAAACTGTGATAGAATGTCAGTACAAGAACTCCCAGCTATAGCAGACAGCAACCAGAAGTAAAAGAATAATTAAAAAGCTCCTGTTTTAAGGCAGAAATTAGCTAGCACTGAAGAGTAACTTATGATTAAATGCATTTACATAAATTCACAGAAACTGCAAAAAAGTATCCAGTCAACAGGGTTAACTTGACTGTTTTCTTCCCTTTAAAAAGCTATGGTTGCTTTAGGCAATGGAGCAGGGTCAGGGCTCTGTTTTGTGAGTATGCTTTACAGCAGAAGGTAATCTCAGCTGCACTCAACAGCTATGCATACCATGCATCCATATTTAACCAAAAGGGTATATTCTCTCAGGGAGTTTGACCCTGAAGCTTCTGCTTCCTCAGTTCTGAGTTATTTTGATCTGGTTTAGCTCAGCAGGAGGCCCCCTAGTGACAAAGGACAATCCAAAATTCACCCAAGCCATTTCCAGGCAAATGTACAAAAATCACATTCTATCATGTTTGCCTCCACACAGATATGTTTGGGAAATAAATAAGGGTGGAGAAACAGGGCAGACACCAAACATTCCCCTGAAAGATTAAGATTGGTACAGCAGCTGTGCATGGTCTGGCTTAGTCTTTCACCGTGTGTGGCTTTACCACACACACTCATTGATTACATAAGAATCCAGTTATCTTCTAAGCCAAGAGAGTAGTGCAGCTGAAATAAATACCACTTTGGTTTAGTAGCTTTACCTTACTGAAAAATAAGGTCACACTCCAGCATACTAAAAGACTGGGGGATACCAAGGAACAGCTCTGTCTTGGAATAGGCATTGGGTGTCAAACCCAAGGCAGGGTATCTGACTGAACACAGTTCAGTGGAACACTTGTCCTGGACACAGGGCAACTTCAACACCAGCAGTAGGGAAGATCAGCAGAGAAATAAATAGATCTTCACTTTTACTCAGGCAGCATTACCAATGCAAATGCTTATTGTAAATAAACCATTTAAATACTTCTTTTAAACCATTTAAATATTTCAACTCTTTCACTTCAGAACAGTTCCTCCCAGGAAAAGACACCCTGAAGTCCTACAGAGAAAATAATCCTTGTGCAACATTGCTTTGTTCCTGGGTAAAGACAGCTGGGGGATTGAATAAACGCAGGAACTGCAGCTCTGTTTAAATGCTATACTGAAATTCCATCCCAAAGATGATTTGAGTTAAAGAAGGTTGGGAACACTAAATAAAACATGAAAATGCTGAAGATTACTAAGAAAAAAAGGATAGTAATAAAAATGAGAAAAGAGAGTGACAGACTTTTTATGCTCCAACTTCAGGCACAGGATTAGGGGAATATTTACCCCAACACACGTATGTGTAGCTGGTCTGTAGGGAAATCAACTTTAAGCTTGTCTTCTTTTCAGACCAATACATCAGTGCCATTTTTGAGTAGGGAAAAGCAAGAGAGAATTTTTTCTCATTGTGTTCTAAGCCTTTGCAAGTAGCCACAGCCAAGGACTATCTAGGAGCCCAGACTTGGGACTGCTGAGAACAGCAGCTGCTGTGTTCAAAGCAGTCACAGGCATCTCCACTAAGAAGAAATGTTGACTGCACATGACAGACAGCATTAAGCTCCACACACCCTAAAAGGCTTAAATTAAGAATGCAAATGCTTCTTCTTTCAAAGCAGTTCAAACAGCAAGCTAGGATATATTCCATGTAAATCAAACAATGACTGCAAGTTAAGAGCTCTTTAATTACAGAAAAATAAGTCTTTAATTTCATATCAGATATCATTTTACACAAGCAATTTCAGTATGACAGTCCATGAAAAACAAATGCATACTCTATGGAAGTTAAGGGCTCTCAATGAAGTCAACATAACATAGAAAGTTGTGGTTGAACAAAGCTTCCTATCTGGTTGAACTTCAGCAGCCATCATTGCACAGAGTTAAGTTCCTTTAAAAGGTTTGGTTTAAAATTAGAGTTCATTTAAATGACTGGAGGGAAAGGCACTTAGTATTGCAGTTTCCAGAACATGATTTGTTTGTCTTCCCCTCCTGTAATAACACTGTTGCACTGTTCATTCATCCACATGGATGTTACAGCACCTGGGAAACAAAATCACAAACAAGTAAATCCAAATGCAAGTAAGTGTGGTACTTGAGATGACAGATCTTTTTTTGAGAGAATTTAGCATAGTCTGAGTTTTGGATTATACTGACACCATATATGCTACAAGGAATTTTAGTAGGGTCCTAGGTAGCTGCTCTTACTCACAGTAAGGATCTCATGCTCCATTCCCTCAGCTCACTTTTGGAACTAGAGGGACATCACTGCTATGCAGAATGCAGATTGCAACTTAGGAAAGTATTCAGGGAGAATGAGCTTTTTCACTCTGCCATTTGGAATTTTCATGTTAAAAGTGTATTCAGATCTTGCAGCATATGCCTCAGAAGCCCACTTCTGAAAAGTCCCCAACTACAGAATGATCTCTCCACAGGTCAAGTTCCAGTGTAAAACTTAAAGCAGAGAAGTTAGAAACAACTGTTCTTAGTTAAATAGCCTTAAAAATTTGACTTAGTAAAACTAAGGTAGCTTTTCTCCACGCATCCTGGTTGCTGATGTACTGAGACTATACAGATACATTTAATCAGCCTATAAATCCCCATCCAGAACAAGTTTACTAGAGAAGTTTACTTAACATTGTTAGACTCAGCGTGGACAGACTGTGGCAAAAGATACAGTACAGTCTATACTGTATCTGAGGGCCAACAGGTTGACTTTTACATTGTTGTGTGAAGTAGAAAAATTGAAAGTAATTTCCCTTTGGCCAGTCTTCTACAAAGCAATATTCCTCCATTCTTACTTGAGTTCCTAGGAGGCTCACATGGACCTACTTCTAATTCTGGTATTTCAGGTAAAGCTGACATCAGGAACAGCCAG